CGATGTCTAATGCTGTGTTGCTGAACTGTGCGCGGCCGTGCGGGGGCACTGAATAAAACAGCGTAGTCCATTAGGACTTCATTGTCAACACTGAACACGTGTCTCACAGCTACGCGTAAATGACGCATGAGCCATAGTGTTACGTCTGTCCGGTTCAGTGGTTGCGATTCAACGGCAAGAGCAGATGGCGAAAAATTTACGCCTCTGCTCTCCAGGTCTTGGTTACGACTATTCACTGAGTTCATGAACTCGCACGGGCAACATGACGTTTAAAATGAGGGTGACATCATTGAAATTCACAAGTTTGATAAAAGCTTCGTATTGATATGTTGTAATGTGATGAAATAAATCGGAAACCGAAAAGAAATGGACATCGGAGAATTATATAAATTCGTGCTTTTATGATCACAGCAGTACCCGCCGACTTGATGTATTTATGCAACAACGACAACGGAAATCTTCGAATGGCAGAAGGCTGACAAAATTTTCATACTGTACTCAATGGGCATCTTGCCGGTAATATCAAGAGGGAGTACCTTATACAGTCTACCTCGACTACCTCAGAGAGCTAGAATATTGTGGGTTCTCAAGACCATGTACAGCTCAGCCAGTAGCTCTGACAAGTTCAACAATGCTTCGAAAGCTTGAGAACTATGCTTAATGTAGTGGAAGAAGGGACATTCGCGAACCTACCTGGCCAATGTGGTGACTCATGGTCAGATCCTCTAGGATGAAATTGCAACTGAAACCGTTGCAGGGCTGCCAGCGACCTTTGCAGCTGGTCAGGCATGAAGGCGGGGGGCGGGGGTGATAATAATAGCAGGGTTACATAATGGAGTTGGTACGGTTTATTAACGTTGGCAAAGTGCAACTGCACATTACTTGTAGGTGAAGCAAGGATCTAGGAGTGGAAAAATAATTTAGGAAAATGAAGTGTACGGCTCAGCGAAGTTAGAAGAAAGGAAATTATCAATGGAGGTTAAAAATGGACATATCCTATTCTACAGACAGTTGGCAAATGGATATACAGGGGAAGTAGGGATCATTATCCACAGAAGAATAAATAACCGTGT